CTCCATGTGCATTTCCTCACTTTTTTCATTTTCCTTAGATCTCTTGTTAAATTTCTCTTTCTACTTCATGCGTCTTACTATCTCTCTGGCACCCTTTCTCATTTAACTTATAAATATATAGACGAACTATTTACATATATATACATATAATTACATTAAATTGCGCACAGGATTTTTTATTTGTTAATAATCTCCATGCACAAGTTATTGCTATTTAAAAAATATAATATGCATATGAACAAATGTTTTAATAATAACATTAAAATCCTTAATAAAAAATATAAATGATAATTTATCATACTGGTCCAATTTTAATTTTTTAACTTCGACCAGGCCTTGGAGAAGACATTTTCGAAGAAAGGACTAAAATAACACAGAAGTGTACTTTCTAGCTCATCTAGCTTTAAGCGTCATGCCAAGTATTGTCATTACTTAAAACCATAGGATATCAAAAAACCATTAGAAGTCTTCTAAGAAACACTTTCGACATTTAAACGAAATCTTTTACTAAAGATACTGGGAAGATCCATAACTAATTTACAGTTTTTGTGGTCAAACCAAAGTAAGAAATGACCACCACAAAGGAACATAAATAGAACCATACACATAGTACATGCATGTAGGTTGTCAGATACCATCTCGTATATTAAAATCACATCATGCAGAAATGACCTAATGTGTTCCTCTCCTAATTATAAGTTTTGCTGCAATATCCAAAATCAAAGTTGTGGAACATATTTTATTAGAATCGTTGGTAATCCATGCAATTAGTGTCTCCTCCATGAGAGTCTTGAACATTAAAACTAAATATTAAATAAACGACACTGCTAATTTTTAGTGTTTGGTACAGGTTGGCTATCACTGTACAACACAGTTTAACCATGGAAGTATTATATGTCAATATTATACATGTACTTCCATGGTTTAACATAGAACCCTATGGGAAAAACAGAGAACTGTTTTTGTCTGAAAACACTGTCAAACATCCAAATATACTATCCACACTGATCTGTGTCCACACTTTTATAGTTTTAAAATAAAACGAAAAACGCAGAAAGGGAGAAAAATCAATATCTAAGGACAATTAATATTAAGGAGTTGATTTCCAATTAAGTTATCTTAACATATTTGTTGGTCGTATATGGCTGATCTATTTCCGCAAACATTTTCTTCAAATCTATGATACTTTTCAATAGTCAAAAATCAAGTTTACAGTTTATTTAATAGTCAAAAATCAAGTTTACAGTTTATTTATTTAAAGACAATTAGTCGCATCTGGGACTTACATGAATAATACAGTCTCTTGGTCACAGGTTGTTAATTCCTTCATTTTTTTTTAAATTCAAAGACTAATTGCTAGTTTTATTTAAAAACAACAACATTATTTTATTAAAATGCTTATTGTATTTCGATACTATGCGAATAAAAGTCTTTGATGTGTTCATCAAAAGACACATTTTGTTTTATGGTGTATAACAGGAGTGATTTATATTGTACAGTGTGCAAATGATTACTTGTACATATATAATTGTTTTTTTTACTGAAAACCAAGTTATAATACTGTCTTTTTTTTTTTGTCCACATATCCCTATAAAATGTACAATCTAAGTTACAGTTATGCGTTCATTTATTACGAGGAATTATTAACAATATCAAAATTTCGTGTGTATATAAATATGAAATAAATATATGTATGCTCTTTTTGGTTCCTTTTCGGTTCTTTTCTGTTCTTTTTGGTCCTTTTCGGTCCTTTTCTGTTCTTTTCTGTAAATCGTCGCTCTTTTCTGTAAATCGTTGGACCGTTGTAGATCTGTTCACGTAGGGTATCATGAATTTGCAATTATTTATATGAGGGACACGGAGGAAATTGAAAAACAAGCCATGAAGCATGGTTTTCAAAAGTATCTTATGATTAAGACATGTCTTACAATGGTTAAGGACATGTCATAAGATATGTATTTGAAGGCGTCTCAAGTCATGATATTCATAACTTTGTTCGTACACTTAAGACACCTCGGGACATTACTTATGATGGTCTTATGATTGTCATAAATGTTACGACATCACACATTTTCTTATTTGCTCATGCAACATGCAGAATGAGATCTAGGATTGTGAAAAAAGGGGGCCCAAACTAGGCATCGTTTGGAGTGATATATGCTAAAAGTCTATACATAAACCAAATGTGTAGCTTCATAGGGGGCGAGGCCCTGACCTCTCTTTTAACATCCGTTTCTGCATGCAGCCTCTCTTACTCTCTTTTTGGCACTGTTTATTCTGTCGCTTAATCTACTAAATAGTAAAAATTTATTTCTTCTTCACTTCGTCATTTAAAATTTGAATGTCCTGAGACGTACAATTTGGAATCCTTTTCTTTGTAATGATTATTTTTAATAAATATTTATGATATTTTTTCTTTGTATAGTAGTTCATTGACGTATTTGCACAGGCATTCTATGTATACCAAATATTAAAAGCATTCCTAATTAGATAACACTTCATTATAATAATACATGAACACGAAGTCCTAACCATTAAATTTAAACAAATTATCAACTCAGATTTTAACTCCTTTTCATATATAATTTTTATGTTCATCGCGTTCATTATACTGGAAAAAATATGAATAATATTCGTATAAGATAAGAATAGTATTAGTTATAATTTTCATAGTAACATATTTTCACTTTTGACTATCATTAAAGCATCATAGGTATGACTATCTTTTGACAGCTATGATTTACATTCTATGACATATCATATGATAGTCATAAGATGGTCATAAAATTTACCTCAAGACAAATCGAAATCAAGCTCGTGGACTGTTAAAAAAATCAACAAAATCAAATGTGTGTACTTATTTATTTCGGGAAAATAGGTATTTGTTTACTGTACAGCAACCGAATTTGGAATCCAGAAAAAATCTACAGGGGCATATTTTTAAGTTAACTAAATCAACAGGTGAACTGAGTTCAAAGGTTTTTTTTAGTTTCCTTTTCCTTCCTTGAAAGTTGCAGTGTTTTTCCCCTTTTTTTAGGGTAATCCGTGATGTCAAAGAGTGGCGTCGTGTAAAAAGACTTTTAAATTGAATTCGATGTAACTTCTGACCGTTTTACTCCACATTACAGATCTTTTTCTAACCCGTAGTAGTTTCATTAAAAAGGGGGACACGTATGTTTTCAGGTGTGAAAGTCATTGGTGGCGTCATTATTCTTTCACATGTTTCAGGTAGATAATTATTCATGACAAGAAGTTTCTTTCGTTGCAATTTTGAAAACATCCCATGGAGCAAATAACACAGATGCTACTCAGACTTTGTTAAAAGTCACCAGTGTGTGAGCAGAAAGTTGATGAACGCACTGGGGGTATGTCAAAGAACGTCTCGTCCTTTTTCTAAAAATGTTCATCGGAAGATACCAAGACATTGTTAATAAATATTCCGTATCAACTTCACAAATAATACACGATGGTTTTGAAATATAGATTCTAGGTACTGGCGTTGTTTATCATCTTATTAATAATAACGTGTAATAGTATTCTTTTATTTGTCTTTGTAAATTAGTACTTTTACATTTTAATCTATTTTTGGTAATATCCATTTGACGTGAATCGGTACTTATACATCCCGTCATTGTGTTATTGTGCTATGGTAACTTTTTGTATTCTTGTCTTCCGTTTTTGCTTATGTGCTTTGTCAATATGCCTTTTTGTTTTTCTTTGTTGACATATAAATTATGTTTGAAATTTGATTAAGGTTATAACACAATGTTGACTGCTGTACTCCCATTTGTGACATTTGTAACTATTTTGTCTGTTTGTTTTGTTCATACATCGTTTTCAATATAATACAATTTTATGCGACTGTCATACACGTGAGAGGTTTAGCTAGCTATAGAACCAGGTTTAATCCACCGTTTTCTATATAAGAAATGCCTGTATCAAGTCTGACAGGAATATGAATGTTATTTTTTGTTCGTTTGATGTGTTCGAACTTTTGATTTTGACATCTGCTTAGGGCCTTCCGTTTAGAATTTTCCCCGGACTTTTGCTATTTTACTTTTTCGTACATGGCAGGGGTCTTAGCGACACGCACATGCAAGTCATACATTAATTTGTTGAATATCTAACTACTAATGGGTGTCATAGGAGGTCCACAAAGGTTTTGATTGAACTGATGATGATGATGATGATGATGATGATGATGATGATGATGATGATGATGATGATGATGATGATGATGATGATGATGGAAGTTTTAAACGACCTTGACTGGCTATACAGCTCTCCCACGGTTGGAAGATTGAACTGTTCGTGTCATGACTAGTATGGTTAGGTGTCAGATATTTTATATTTTTAATTAATAATTATAATTAGGTTTTGTTTTTCTGCCAATCTAATTTTCTATAATTTTACATCAATATGTTTTTAACTACATTTGCATTTGTATAATTACATTATATCAAGGCTCTTGTATAGCCCGATTCAAACAACTGTTCTGTTCTGAGCTGTATAATGGTAAACATGTCGGGTTAACATGTACCACCGGAGTTACATTGCACATTGATGAAGCAAGCAGATAACAGCATCACAGTACCAACATCTTCATAAATGTGGAACATGTTTACTTTTGTAACATCGGTCCAGGTATAATGCAGTTGACACTAAATACTATAAAACTTTCTTCATTGCATAAAATGCAGATGTCTTTCTGCTCGTCAAATGACAGTTTACTGATTATCGTTCTGTACCATTTCTGAAGGGCCTGTAGGTCACCTTGCTATTGATATGTACCATAATTCTGAGGTGCATGTAGGTAGCCCTGTTATAGATCTGTACCATGATTACCTGCGGTGCCTGTAGGACACTCTGCTATTGATCTGTATCATAATCATCTGCGGTGCCTGTAGGTCACCCTGCAATTGATCTGTATCATAATCATCTGCGGTGCCTGTAGGTCACCCTGCTATTGATATGTACCATTATAATCTGCGGTGACTGTAGGTCACCCTGCTATTGATCTGTCCCATAATCATCTGCGGTGCCTGTAGGTCACCCTGCTATTGATATGTATCATAATCATCTGCGGTGCCTGTAGGTCACCCTGCAATTGATCTGTATCATAATCATCTGCGGTGCCTGTAGGTCACCCTGCTATTGATATGTACCATTATAATCTGCGGTGACTGTAGGTCACCCTGCTATTGATCTGTCCCATAATCATCTGCGGTGCCTGTAGGTCACCCTGCTATTGATATGTACCATTATAATCTGCGGTGACTGTAGGTCACCCTGCTATTGATCTGTCCCATAATCATCTGCGGTACCTGTAGGACACTCTGCTATTGATCTGTCCCATAATCATCTGCGGTGCCTGTAGGACACTCTGCTATTGATCTGTATCATAGTCATCTGCCGTGCCTGTAGGTCACCCTGCTATTGATCTGTCCCATAATCATCTGCGGTACCTGTAGGACACTCTGCTATTGATCTGTATCATAATCATCTGCGGTGCCTGTAGGACACTCTGCTATTGATCTGTCCCATAATCATCTGCGGTACCTGTAGGACACTCTGCTATTGATCTGTATCATAATCATCTGCGGTGCCTGTAGGTCACCCTGCTATTGATCTGTCCCATAATCATCTGCGGTGCCTGTAGGTCACCCTGCTATTGATCTGTACCATTATAATCTGCGGTACCTGTAGGTCACCCTGCAATTGATCTGTATCATAATCATCTGCGGTGCCTGTAGGTCACCCTGCTATTGATATGTACCATTATAATCTGCGGTGACTGTAGGTCACCCTGCTATTGATCTGTCCCATAATCATCTGCGGTGCCTGTAGGTCACCCTGCTATTGATATGTACCATTATAATCTGCGGTGACTGTAGGTCACCCTGCTATTGATCTGTCCCATAATCATCTGCGGTACCTGTAGGACACTCTGCTATTGATCTGTCCCATAATCATCTGCGGTGCCTGTAGGACACTCTGCTATTGATCTGTATCATAGTCATCTGCGGTGCCTGTAGGTCACCCTGCTATTGATCTGTCCCATAATCATCTGCGGTACCTGTAGGACACTCTGCTATTGATCTGTATCATAATCATCTGCGGTGCCTGTAGGACACTCTGCTATTGATCTGTCCCATAATCATCTGCGGTACCTGTAGGACACTCTGCTATTGATCTGTATCATAATCATCTGCGGTGCCTGTAGGTCACCCTGCTATTGATCTGTCCCATAATCATCTGCGGTGCCTGTAGGTCACCCTGCTATTGATCTGTACCATTATAATCTGCGGTACCTGTAGGTCACCCTGCTATTGATCAGTATTATAATTATCGGAGTTTTCTGTAGGTCACCCTGCTATTGATTTGTACTATAATTATATGAGGTGCATGTAGTTCACCCTGTTGTTGATCTGTACCATAATCATCTGCGGTGCCTGTAGGCCATCCTAATATTGATCTGTACCATATCATTTCAAATGTGCCCATAGGTGGCCCTTGTATTGATCTGTACTATATCATATGAAAAGTGCAAGAGGTCACATTGATATTGATCTGTATCATACCCTTTCAAAAGTGCATATAGGTTTCCTTATTTTTGATCGATACCATTTCCTATCAAAAGTGTTGTCTTATGTAACATCGGTCTTGGTATAATACAGTTGGCATTAAATACTATATAAAAGAGGAGCGAAAGATACCGGAGGAACAGTCAAACTCATAAATCAAAAATAAACTGACAACGCCATGGCTAAAAAATAAAAAGACAAACAGACAAATAATAGTACAGAAAACACAACATAGAAAACTAAAGACTAAGCAACACGAACCCAACCAAAAACTGGGGATGATCTCATGTGCTTCAGAAGGGTAAGCAGATCCTTACGACGTAAGGAACATATCCGATATCATCTGTGAAACGGATATTCCATAAATGACAACCAACTCGTAATGGCGTCCGTAAAATTTACGAAGGGATGACTTCAACTTCACCATTTGGAACTCTTGGTTTAATAGCTTCCTTTAATAGCTTCCTTTGTTCATTGCATAAAATACATTAAAATGCAGATGTCTTTCAGCTCGTCAATTGACAGTTTACTGATTATCGTTATGTACCATAATTTTTTGAAGGGCCTGTAGGTCACCTTGCTATTGATCTGAGTACCATAATGTTCTGAAGTGCATGTAGGTCACCCTGTAATTGATATTTATCATAATTATTGGAGGTGCGTTTAGGGCACACTGTTTACAGCTATTGATCTGTACCATAGTTATCTGAGGTGACTGTAGGACACCCTGCTATTGATCTGTACCATAATTATCTGCTGTACCTGTAGGTCACCCTGTTATTGATATGAACTATAATCATCTGCGGTGCCTGTGAGTCACCCTGCTATTGATCTGTCCCATAATTATCTGAGGTGCCTGTAGGTCAGGTCGCCCTGCTATTGATCTGTACCATTATAATCTGCGGTGCCTGTAGGTCACCCTGTTATTGATCTGTACCATAATCATCTGCGGTGCCTGTAGTTCACCCTGCTATTGATCTGTACTATAATTATATGAGGTGCATGTAGTTCACCCTGTTGTTGATCTGTACCATAATCATCTGCGGTGCCTGTAGGCCATCCTAATATTGATCTGTACCATATCATTTCAAATGTGCCCATAGGTGGCCCTTGTATTGATCTGTACCATATCATATGAAAAGTGCAAGAGGTCACATTGCTATTGATCTGTATCATACCCTTTCAAAAGCGCATGTAGGTCACCTTGTTTTTGATCTGTACCATTTCCAAAGAAAAGTGCTTGTATGTAACCTTTTTTTAGTCTCTCCCATATCATATCAAAGTTACTGAAGATTAGATGTCTGTTCATTTTTTACCATATCCTATTTAATTATCAAAATTGCATGTAGGTCACCCTGTAATTGATATGTACCATAATTATTCGAGGTGCGTGTAGGGCACGCTGCTATTGATCTGTACCATAGTAATCTTAGGTGCCTGTAGGTCACCCTGCTATTGATCTGTATCATAGTTATCTTAGGTGCCTGTAGGTCACCCTGATATTGATCTGTACCATATTATTTCAAATGTGCCTATTGGTCAGCTTGCTATTGATCTGTACCATATCATATCAAAGGTGCAAGAGGTCACATTGCTTTTGGTCTGTATCATACCCTTTCAAAAGCGCATGTAGGTCACCTTGTTTTTGATCTGTACCATTTACAATGAAAAGTGCTTGTAGATAATCTTATTTTAGTCTCTCTCATATCCTATCAAAGTTGCTGAAGATTATGTGTCTGTTAATTTTTACCATATCCTATTTAATTATCAAAATTGCCTGTAGGCCACCATGTTATTGATCTGTACCATATTATATCCTAGGTGCCTGGATATCACACTGCTTTTGATCTTTGCCAATAATTTCAACGGTACTTGTACCTCACCCTGTTGTTTACCATGTCATATTATAAATGCATGTATGTCCCCTCGTTATTTTCCATATCACATTATATGTGCCTGTAGGTCACCCTGTTAATTACAAAATCTTATCACAGGTGCCTGTAGGTCACCATGTTATTTACAAAATCTCATCACAGGTGCCTGTAGGTCACGCTGTTATTTATATCATCTTATCACATGTGTCTGTAGGTCACCCTGTTATTTTACATATCCTATCATAGGTGCCTGTAGATCACCATGGTATTTATCCATAATATCATAATATAGGGGGCTGTAAATCACCCTGTTATTTTACATATTCTTTCATATGTGCCTATAGGTCACCATGTCATTTCAATATCATATTATAGTTCTGTTATTTTCTTTTTCCTATCATAGGTGCATGTAAGACACCACGGTATTTATCCATATTGTATTATAGGATTCAACCTTCATGCACCTATGATACAGATCTATATTGGGATTGGATCTGAAGGCTCCTGTAATATGCAAAAGTGTAGATAAATATCAGTGTAACCTGCAGTCACATATGATAGGCTATGTTAGAGATAAAAGTTGTGTGACCTGCAGACACCGAGTATAGGCTATGTAACATTTACATAGCAATCATGTGACCTGCAGGCTCCTATGATGGGCTCTGGTAAGGATCTATGAGAATAAGACCTGCATGCACCTATGATACAGATCTATGTGACTTGACCTACAGTCTCATATGATGTGCTCTGGTACAGATACATATCAGTGTTACCTGCAGGTAGTTACAAAAGGCTAATGTTACATAGGAATAAAAGTATGACCTGAAGGCAATGATGGTACAGATAATTTTTGGTTTAACCTGCAGGCACCTATGCTAGAATATGGAACATAAAAAAGCGGTGAAACCTACATGCACCTATAATAAACCTGCAAGCACTATAAAAGGATACAGTACACAAATCAGTGGTGTGACTTACATGCACCCATGATTGGATATAGTAAATACAAAAGACTGTGTGCAGATAAAAAGTCGTGTGACCTACAGGAACCTATGATAGACTATAGGGCAGATAAAAAGTCGTGTGACCTACAGGAACCTTTGATAGGCTATAGTGCAGATAAAAAGTCGTGTGACCTACAGGAACCTATGATAGGCTTTAGTGCAAATAAAAAGTCGTGTGACCTACAGGAACCTATGATAGGCTATGGTGCAAATAAAAAGTCGTATGACCTACTGGAAACTATGATAGGCAATAGTGCAGATAAAAAGTCGTGTGACTTACAGGAACCTATGATAGGCTATAGTGCAGATAAAAAGTTGTATGACCCACAGGAACCTATGATAGGCTATAGTGCAGATGAACAGTCGTATGACCTACAGGAACCTATGATAGGTTATAGTGCAGATAAACAATCGTATGACCTACAGGAACCTATGATAGGCTATAGTGCATATAAAAAGTCGTGTGACCTACAGGAACCTATGATAGGCTATAGTGCAGATAAAAAGTCGTGTGACCTACAGGAACCTATGATAGCCTATAGTGCAGATAAAAAGTCGTGTGACCTATAGGAACCTATGATAGGCAATAGTGCAAATAAAAAGTCGTGTGACATACAGGAACCTATGATAGGCTTTAATGCAAATAAAAAGTTGTATGACCTACAGGAACCTATGATAGGCTATAGTGCAGATGAACAGTCGTATGACCTACAGGAACCTATGATAGGCTATAGTGCAGATCTGTAGTGAAGAGATCGACAGGCACCTATTATAGACTATGGTGCAGATCTATGGTGATGTGACCTGCATGTACCTATTATAGTCTTTGGTACAGATAAATAAGCAATGTGACATGCAGTCACCCATGCTAGACTATAGTGAAGATTTATGGTGATGTGACCTTCAGGCACCTCTGATGGGCTAAGGTACAGTTAAAAAGCTGTAAAACCTGCAGACACCCATTATAGGCTTTGATCTAAGGTGATGTGACCTGCATGCATTTATGGTACTAATGCATATCAGTTTGACCCTCAGGCTCCTGTGATAGGCGAGTACTCTCAGATCTGTACTTAGTGTATTTTTGTTATTCGCATGAACAAGTAACCATCAACGTCCACTTTGTGTTTTGTAAGATGTTTTTCTATTTCTATTTATTTAATGTGACCTGCCTTTTTCAACTGTTTTTATAGTTTGTTATGTTCTACTGTTACACCACGATACCATGTTATGAGAGGGTTGGCGCCTTCAAATAGTTTAACCCCGCCACATTCTGTAAGTGCCTGTCCCAATTCAGGAACCGGTAATTCAGTGGTTGTCATTTGTCAGTTGCAAGAAGGAAAGGTAACTTCTAATTTACATTCTGCAGAGGATATGCCTAAAGAAGTATAGACTATATTATTTTCATACTTTGAACGACAATATTATTTTATATTTCTACCTGTGTGACATTTACATTCTGACGTCAAACGCGCAATTCTACGTTAGAGTCAGTGTTAATCTGGCCATTCGCTCCTAGTACTAAAGATCTTTCAATCGTTAATTGGTGGATTTGACATACTTAAATAAAATTCAAATATAAGGGAGCAATGAATAAGGTTGTTAAATTTGATGTGTGCCTTTTTGTGCTTCTTTGATGTTTGTTTGTTTTTATTGTGATCAAGATACTTGTGATACTTGTACATTCTGTCATTATTGTTTATGATACAATTATTCTCGTATTATTGTCTTTCATTTGTGCTAATGTGCTTTGTCTATATATCCCTTTTTATGTTTCTTTGTTACATATATGACGTAGCTCTGTACTTATACATCCCGTCATCGTGTTATTGTACTATGGTAAATTTGTGTATTCTTGTCTTTAATTTATGCTAATGTGATCGGTCTATATGCCATTTTGTGCTTCTTTGTTACATATTTGTTTTTGTTTTTTTAGTGATTAAGATTTTAACACAATGTTGACTGTTGTATTTTTGACATTTTTACCTATTATGTCTGTTTGGTTTGTTTACGCATCGTTGGCAACATAATGGAATTATATGCGACTGTCATACAAGTGAGAGGTTTAGCTAGCTATAAAACCAGGTTCAGTCCACCATTTTCTACGTAAGAAAATGTCTGTACCAAGTCAGGAATATGACAGTTGTTATCCATTCGTTTGATATGTTTGAGCATTTGATTTTGCAATTTGATTAGGGACTTTCCGTTTTTGGAATTTTCCTCGGAGTTCAGTATTTTTGTGATTTTACTTTTTGTTGCTGTGTTTCATATTTGTTTTTCGTTTATTATTTTGTACTTAAATTAGGCCGTCTATTGTGGAGAGTTGTCTCATTGGCAATCATACCACAACTTCCTTTTATATATATGGTGCAAATCTAAAGTGATGTGCCCTGCAGGCACCTACCATACAGATATATAAATCAAAGTGTGACATGCAGGCATATATAATAGGCTATGGTACAGATAATAAGCAGTCTGACCTGCAGACTCAAATGATAAGCTATGTTACAGATCTTAGGTGATGTGATCTGCAGGCACCTATTGTCCAGATACATTTTTGGTGAGACCTGCAGGCACATTTGATACAGATAAAATATGGTGTGTCCTGCAGGCACCTATAAAATTGTATATGATCATACGCGTAGATATATGCAGCACTACTTTTTTTATAAGTGGTGACTGGCAGTAACCGTTCACATAAGCTTTTATCCTTGTGCATTTTTCAGCTGGCTGTTTAACCTCCGAATCCGTACAGGGTACGTCCTTGACGTTTCAGGGCGTAGACAACATCCATGGCGGTGACAGTCTTCCTCTTTGCGTGCTCAGTGTATGTGACAGCATCACGGATGACATTTTCCAAAAAGACTTTCAAGACACCACGTGTTTCCTCGTAGATAAGACCAGAGATACGGAATCTTTCTATAATGCAATAAATTTATATATCAGCTTTTGATCTGTACACAGCTCAGCCTCACTTTTTACATACCACAAATGGTACATCATTGAATGAATAAATTATTGCGCCTTGTCTATTTTTCTCCACCAATGGGAAAAAAAGATTCATCCGCACACATGTAAACATCATTTATAAGACACAAATAGCACCCAAAATAGCTTCATATTGATCACAAATTAAAGGTTTTCAACAAAAAATTCTTTCTGTAACACGCAAATAATGAAGACAAAGTTTTGAAGGAGAATTTAAGATGGACTTCTTCCGTACCGAAAAAATATATTTAAAAAATATAAAATAATTGAATCTTCTCTTGTATTCACAGTATAATACACAATATATGTAAAAAGAATATACAAAAGCATCAATAAAAACATTGAGAAAATAACATCAAGGGAAAATGTATCTAAGAGAAAAATATAACCACAGAAATTAGAAAGAAATACATTTTAATAATTCTGCAATAAGAAGATGGATTGTATTGTTCTGGGACAATAGTATTCTTCCCTTTTTAATTTTTTTTTAGGGCCGGTATATATATATCTGAAAATGTATAACATTCATATATTTCTATATGATGTGAAAGTTTTAGATAAATTAAAATATGTATACATAAGGTGCATATGGAATGAATGACTCTCTCTGTATGTATTTATATTTTCATTTGCAGAAGAGTATGTTTTGAAATAAGTTTCTTTTTAATTTTGTTTCAATAGTTAACTAGGTATAACATTTTCTGAGATTAAAAAAAAAAAGAAAGAAAGAAAGAAAGATGTGGAGAGGGTTTCAGCTATATTTGATTTTGATGTACAACAAATTCAGACTCTTTTTGAAAAATATTGGTGGCCCTTAAAAGGGCCGTTATTGTATAGAGTAAAGGTCAGTTTAAGCACGTTCTCCACGGATTCTGCGAGCCAACTGGATGTCTTTGGGCATGATGGTGACTCTCTTGGCGTGGATGGCACACAAGTTGGTGTCCTCGAAAAGACCAACGAGGTAAGCTTCACTGGCTTCCTGGAGGGCCATAACGGCAGAGCTCTGGAAACGAAGATCAGTCTTGAAGTCTTGAGCAATTTCACGAACTAATCTCTGGAATGGGAGTTTCCTGATGAGGAGTTCAGTACTTTTCTGGTATCTTCTGATCTCACGAAGAGCGACTGTTCCTGGCCTGTATCTATGTGGTTTCTTAACTCCACCAGTTGCAGGTGCGCTCTTACGGGCGGCCTTGGTGGCAAGTTGCTTTCTTGGAGCTTTTCCTCCAGTGGATTTACGGGCGGTCTGCTTTGTACGAGCCATTGCGATATGTTCTCTGTGAAAATCTACGATTACACGACAGAATACTTTAAAACTTCGAATGTTTGTGTATTTGTGCTAGCCGCAATGTTTGCAAACACGACACTGATTGGCCTTTCGGGGTAATAAAACTCACGCTGATTGGTTGAAATCTCTGTATTATGATTGGACTGATCTGGAAGTTACTGTCACAGCTTTCAATCCCTTTTTGGACTGTAGCTAAAGACTGTTCACCCCAAGCTAACATTTGGCTCACATTTGTGTCTATTCTGTTTTGTTGTGATCGTGTCAACAAAAGTTTGAAATAATGAAAATACTCAAGAGTAATGCAGAATTGAATTAATCTTTATTCAAATTAATAAATAATTGGTTAATCAACAGTCTAACACGAAATATATAAATGAATTGACAGGAAAAAAGTTACTGTAAATTAAATACCAAAAAAAAACCAAAAAACATCATCACCCATCAATTTTGATCAGTAGACGAGTGGTATAGGCATGCAGCCTTTTGTTGTGGCCAGTTTCTCGTATAGACATGCTTAATTCAGTGCACGACTGTCACTCGTCTCAGTGTCTGGGGAAAGGTTCCCAGACAAAGAGAACACTCTGTATTATCTTATCTTTTGCCTTTGTAATCTCTATAATAGTCTCGGTATTCTCTATAGTCTCTGTATTCTCTATAGTCTCGGTAGTATACTGCACGCAAAGCAGGAGACTTGCACATTGTTAAAGTATTCTATATTGTATAAAATACAAATGATTGCAGAAAAAAATTATCTACAAAACTATAATATATATGTACGCATAAGTACTGTGTATAAGAAACAAAATATATGTAATATATTTAAGAGAATGTAACAGCAGAAGAAAAAGAAGAAAAGAATCCAGCTAGACCTCAGACAGACCGACAGACACACAATCGATCGAACGAACGAACGAACGAACATTTTCATATATATATTTATATAAGGTCAAAGATTGTAATTTGTGTGAGTATATCATCCTTACAAGAGGATTGCAGCGAAATTTACACACCAAACAATACAAATATGTAACATTGACCACAAACAAATATAAGTTTTTTCTTCTTCTCGTGCTTGCGCATTTCCATCAGCATCTACGTTAGGTGGTTGTTTATTTGTTGGACTTTTATAGGAGAAAAAAGCAAGGTGAACTGTTTTTTTTTTTTTTTATCTATGCATGAATTTTTGACATCAACTATTGTTATATATAATAAAAAAAAGTAGACATCTGTAAACTGTTTACAAAAAAATGAAAAACAACAGAAAAATAAAAAATAAAAAATAAAAGACAGAGAAATGAGGGGGTGAGCTAGTTTTAAGGTTGTATTCTTCATTCAACTAATTGTACAACAAAGTCAGATTCTTTTTGAAAAATGTTGGTGGCCCTGAAAAGGGCCGTTGTAAGTGAAGTTTCTGTTGTATTGACTTTACTTGGCAGCTTTCTGTGTCTTCTTTGGCAGAAGTACAGCCTGGATGTTTGGCAAAACACCACCTTGGGCAATGGTTACACCAGAGAGAAGTTTGTTCAATTCTTCGTCGTTTCTGATGGCCAACTGAAGATGACGGGGGATGATTCTGCTCTTCTTGTTGTCACGGGCAGCATTTCCTGCCAACTCCAAAACCTCAGCTGCTAAGTATTCCAAGACAGCGGCAAGGTAGACTGGAGCTCCGGCACCAACTCTCTCGGCGTAGTTTCCTTTCCTCAAAAGTCTGTGGATACGACCTACTGGGAACTGAAGTCCGGCACGGGATGACCTAGACTTTGCTTTTGCCTTTGCTTTACCTCCTTTTCCTCGTCCTGACATTTTGATTTAATACGTTGTTTGACACTGAACAAGTATAAACAATGATTACCCCAAGAGGTCGTATTTTACTATTTATACCCGCAAAACGGATTGAAAGATGTTTCAGTTCTAAACCAATCAAATCATCGCTTCCTCCAAGTAGTTGGGTTGAATGTTAGAAGGTGCTCTCTCCGAAGTTCGCGTTTAGTAAAAACTTTCAATCCGTTTTGCCGAGTATAAATACAAATTTTTATTAACGGCCATCATTCACTGATTACTTTTCAGAGAGTATACATCTGTCAAAATGCCACCAAAAGTTGGAACCAAAGGAGCCAAAAAGGCCGTCACAAAGGCCAAAACTGCCCGTCCCGGCGGTGACAAGAAAAGGAGGAGGAAGAGGAGAGAATCCTATGCCATCTACATCTACAAAGTCTTGAGACAAGTTCACCCAGACACTGGAGTATCCTCAAAGGCCATGTCTATCATGAACAGTTTTGTCAACGATATCTTTGAGAGAATCGCTGCAGAAGCTTCCCGTCTCGCTCACTACAACAAGAGATCTACCATCACATCTCGGGAGATCCAGACTGCAGTTCGTCTGCTCTTACCCGGTGAATTAGCCAAGCATGCTGTCAATGAAGGTACCAAAGCTGTCACAAAGTACACCAGCAGCAAGTAAACAACGAGAAGTTTTCACTTCACAAACGGCCCTTTTCAGGGCCACCAACATTTTTCAAAAAGAGTCTTATTATTGTTGTACATCACATAAACTTCTAAATCAAGCTTTGCCCCCAGCCCAAATGAGGAATTTATCTTTATCATTTTTCTGCCTTTTTTTCTTATTCTTCATATAAAAAAGTTAAATTTGCTAAAATGTGTGATATGAAATATAAACAAAATTCTCTCTTTTTGTCTTACTTTTGTCTAGGCGCTTGAAAAGGGACGAATGAAAGTATACTTCGTGTATATTACTCCGTCATATAAAAAAAATCATACATTTAAAATTAACCAAACCATGCGCTAATATTGTACTTGAAAAGAAAGAATGAAAATAAAAATAAAAGGGTCTTCAGAATATATAAAATTTACACTTATATTCTGAATAAATTAAATGTCAACTGTACGAAAATAAATAAAGAGAGAAATGAAAACAATAAACTTATAAAAAAAATTATATAAATAAAGGTAAAATAAATGATTAGAGTGTAATTTTTATAAGTCGAGATTTATATATTATCCACTTGCTTAATTTTTTTATGGGCAAAAAAGAAAATAATCAAACATAAACGAAGAGAGGACAGAAAAATGGACAGGAGAAAGCTATGATTTTCATTTTGAGTACAACAAATGCAGATTCTTTTTGAAAGATGTTGGTGGCCCTGAAAAGGGCCGTTGTATTTGTATTTTTCAGCTGGCTGTTTAACCTCCGAATCCGTAAAGGGTACGTCCTTGACGTTTCAGGGCGTAGACAACATCCATGGCGGTGACAGTCTTCCTCTTTGCGTGCTCTGTGTATGTGACAGCATCACGGATGACATTTTCCAAAAAGACTTTCAAGACACCACGTGTTTCCTCGTAGATGAGACCAGAGATACGTTTGACACCACCTCTTCTTGCCAGACGACGGATTGCTGGTTTGGTGATACCTTGGATATTATCACGCAACACTTTCCTGTGACGCTTGGCGCCTCCTTTTCCTAGACCTTTTCCTCCTTTACCACGACCTGACATGTTGATTGCTTTGTGAAGTTCGAAATGTCGAATGACAACACTATCCAAATTATGCTATATATCTCATGAACGCGGCCCTAAAAGAAATACCACTAATCTTTTGGTAGGTTGGACCTGATTGGTTCTTTTCGTCTAATTCCGGGAGGTAACTCTGTAGGAATGTTGTACACTTTCAATCCACTTTTTGAATGATGGTCTGAAAATATATGAAAATAACAAATTTCAAAATGTATACAAATAAAAAAAGAGATTATACAAGATGGACCAAACAATATAAGATCTTTAACATCAATTAACAATATAAGATCTGTAACATCAATTAATATTCTTTTTTATTTTCAAATCTGAATGAGCTTTTTTTTTTTTAAGACTAGAAAATATCACACTGCATACATAAGCAGGAGATAATGTGCAATTGTAATTTTTTTTTTCATATTTCTTTTCTTTCCATACAATTTTTTCTTCTTCAAAAGACACAGTTCAGTTTCAGATGAAATCCACTTTGCAGATTTAAAAGTTTACATTGAAAACTACAACATACCAGTTAGTTAAGCATGGACAGATAAATTTGTAAATAACATTAACAGGTGTGCATAATAATTTTTCTAATAATCACTTTTACCAGTTTTAATGAGGATGTCCAGGCAAATTGACATTTCAAACATGGTATTATTACATGTCTTAAACTAATGCACATCTTTAAACTGCTAATAAGGAATCTTTCTACAATGCAATAAATTTATATATCAGCTTTTGATCTGTACACAGCTCAGCCTCACTTTTTACATACCACAAATGGTACATCATTGAATGAATAAATTATTGCGCCTTGTCTATTTTTCTCCACCAATGGGAAAAAAAGATTCATCCGCACACATGTAAACATCATTTATAAGACACAAATAGCACCCAAAATAGCTTCATATTAATCACAAATTAAAGGTTTTCAACAAAAAATTCTTTCTGTAACACGCAAATAATGAAGACAAAGTTTTCAAGGAGAATTTAAGATGGACTTCTTGGACCCGTACCGAAAAAATATATTTAAAAAATATAAAATAATTGAATCTTCTCTTGTATTCACAGTATAATACACAATATATGTAAAAAGAATATACAAAAGCATCAATAAAAACATTGAGAAAATAACATCAAGGGAAAATGTATGTAAGAGAAAAATATAACCACAGAAATTAGAAAGAAATACATTTTAATAATTCTGCAATAAGAAGATGGATTGTATTGTTCTGGGACTATAGTACTCTTCCCTTTTTAAATTTTTTTTTAGGGCCGGTATATATATCTCTGAAAATGTATAACATTCATATATTTCTATATGATGTGAAAGTTTTAGATGAATTAAAATATGTATACATAAGGTGCATATGGAATGAATGACTCTCTCTGTATCTATTTATATTTTCATTTGCAGAAGAGTATGTTTTGAAATAAGTTTTTTTTTAATTTTGTTTCAATAGTTAACTAGGTATAACATTTTCTGAGATTAAAAAAAAAGAAAGAAAGAAAGAAAGAAAGAAAGAAAGAAAGAAAGATGTGGAGAGGGTTTCAGCTATATTTGATTTTGGTGTACAACAAATTCAGACTCTTTTTGAAAAATATTGGTGGCCCTTAAAAGGG